TCAGGCCTGACACTTTCAATTGTTGAGTTGAGTAACTACTCAACTGTTAGCAAGATTAGATTTATCTGCTGATGGTTGTTTCAACCAGTTTTCTCATTCCCACAAGACACAGTAACTATAAAGAAGTTCCCTTTTGTTGGATATGATGGCACATACCTGTAATCCCAGCACTTAGGAGGCTGAGATAGGAGTATCACAAGTTTAAGCCCTACCTAACCTATATAGCAAGACCCTATATAAAAAGGAGCACAAAAACGCAGGAATTAACAGAAACACACAATACCATTATTTTTAAAAGCACAAAAAAATCTTTTACTCATTTATTCAAATTAAAACTTATACTCTGTTCAAAATTAAATGTACTGAACTAATACAGAGATATGTAAACCAGGACTTAATTTACTCATTTAAATTCAGTTGCACAAGCAAGTTTTTTTGCCTGACTTTTCTCTACTTCCTCACCCGCTACCCACTACTACTGATAAACCAATCCCACTGGGTCCACTGAATTTTTCTATTCATTGCTAACCACTTTCTTAATTCTTTTTATACTACTGTCTTTCTTTGAGCAATACACTTTACTCTGTCATGCTGGCCTTTCCTGTTTTTCTGTGGGTAAGATAATTTCAATAAGATGTCTGCCCACTAAAGATGATGGTGAAGATGACAACAGACATCCTGCTTGGCGTTTTGCCACTCGGGCAGCGCAGTGGCATACCTGGGCAGCAGCAGTGCATCTGCTTACATAATGACCATCCCAAACACTGCTCGGGCAGATGTCAACCAGTCGATTCTTGTCTGCCCAAGATAACTCATATGCCTATTTGTTTTATTGGTACCAGGGATCAAACTCAGGACCTTGTGTCTGTTTTTGCATACATTTTTTTTTATCTAGAATGTTGTATACACCTTTGATGCTTGTTTCTAGTGAAATCTAATAGCAAGTTCCGGTTGTTTTCTTTTACAATTTGTGTTCATTTGTGAAAAATAACCTATAGTTTTATACTACAATCTTTAAAAACTCTTACTGTATGTACACTTGATATAACTTTTATACTTCTCCAGAATTCAGTGCTATTCTTTTACAACACAAAATGAACATGTTTGGGACACCAACATTGAGTAGGAAAGAAGCACTACAAGATCTGCAAAAGAAAAACATTATAAAAGGGAGACATGTTAGCATATCAAAGAGAACATATCTGTGTTATTAAATAAAAAGACATCTTATTGTCAACTGTAGTACAGAGATGATAAAACTAAAAGAAACAAAACTAAAACCATTTCAATAGTGGTCTATGGGTAGCATTGACACAGCTGACCAACATCTAACAAGCTATCCTATAATAAAAAGGAAAAAATATTATTATAAAATATTTATGCAACTACTGGACCAAACAATACAGAAATCATTTTCTACTTATACAAAACAAGGAGGTTCATGAGGTCATCATTTACTGTTTAGATTAGGTCTAGCAGACCAAATTATTGAAAAATACAGAATAGCAAAATGCCAATGAGGATGTCCATTGTGTCCTCACCATCATGTTTAGTAGGCAGACATTTCATTAAAATTATATCACCCACAGAAAGCCAGGAAAGGCCAACATGACAACCTGAACTATGTTGTTCAAAGAAAGACAATAGTGCAAAAAGAATTTAGAAAGAGATTAGGTACTACTGTGTGAATTATAATATTGCATTGTGTACCGAATGTTTTATCATATACCATACACAGGGTATATGGACACCCATAGGGATATATGGATATCCATACACAGAAAGATCACGGAGTAAATTTGATAAAATTGTTGGTTTTTATATTTCCTATTATCTTACAAAAAATAATGACAACATACGCAATTTTGAGGTGTCCTGTATTTAAGTAATCAGATTGGTAATGTTTAAATTCCCCAAGATAAAAAATTCAAAAGTTGTCCCCCTTCCTCAAGAAGAAGCTGACTTTGTATGTAATTTTGCTGAGGCTTCTCTAGTAGCCTCCACACCACAAAAGGACTAGGGATAAGGTTGGTATTCTCTTGGTTCTCCAATGCTGCTGCCCTACAAGTAAAGATCACATAAACCCTTTTTCACTCTCAAGCTGACATCCAGGGACTTCACAACACTCCTATCATCTTATGAAGTCTGGTACTCTTTCATAATCTTCCCTGCAGAGGCCACTGTTACCATCACTACAGGATATTTAGTGTCAGAATCCTTAATATCCTTACTTCCAGTGACTTCACCTTCCAGTTGTTTCAGCTCTTCAGTTTACAAGACTGTGCACTGGGTCTTTTCATCAACAAGGACTCTCTTCCCAAGCCAAACGTCATCATTCTACTTATTTCTGTTCTTCAACTTTACAGAGAATTCTATTTCCCTAATTTTTAAATTTTTCTGAACCTGTCAGTCCATCTGAATCTTCCTTCCACATCCTGCATACATTCCAGAACTGATTATACCAATTACTCAGTTATCATCACCCATAATTCATGTGTAGCCCAATTACTCTTCATTCTACCCAGAAATGCTGTAACCCTAGAGCAACACAGCAATTTTTCACTGTTCTTTCATTGCTAAAGAAAAAAGGGAGAAAGAGGTAGAAGAGCAGAAAAAAAGATGGAAGGATGGAAGGGATAACACAAAAAAAGAAAAGAAAAAAACAGGAAGAAGAAAATTATAACAGCTTAAATATTACTGCTCTTTATCGTCTACTGATCATCTTTCTTCCCATTCCCCCAAAGACTATCCTGGATCTTCATGACTTGCCCACACTATGTGCTGCTTTCTCGGCAACTCAGCTATTTTAGCTGTGACTTCAGTATCAACATTCACTTGGGGAGCTTACCGGTTAGCTCAGTTGTTTAAAGTGCCTGCTTGGGCAAACTCAGCCAGGCACAGGGGACCACAGTTCCATCCCCAGCTCCACATGCCACACTAGACCCGTCTTTAAGGCAGCCTGAGCCAGCCAAAAACAACACAAAAAACAAAGAAAGAAACCTTCTCAAGTTGGAGCTCGCCTGATAGCTCACCAGACTAAAGTGCCTGCTTATGTTCAACCCCTGGCATGCCATACTGGTTCCGCCCCTGGGGTGCGCTGAAAGGGTGATTGAGACTGGGTGTGGTGGCGCCTGCCTGTAATGCCAGCGCTTGGGAGGCTGAGAACAGGTGGGTCACTACCATTCTGATCTATGTAATGAGGCCCTGTGGACCCTGTATCCCCTGTATTAAATGCATTAAAAAATAATAATAAAATAACATTCACTTGACTTTCACCCACCAGAATCTCTTGTTGCTTGACAAACTTAATACAACACGGTTTCATTGCCAATTAAAGATGAAATTTGTCCATTTTTTCAAAAGATGAGTGAAGAAATAATTCCATGAACATAGGAACAGATGGATTGATTGATTAGTTGATTGACTGATTTCATACAGGGTCCTGCTACACAGCTCAGACTCACAGCGATCCTCCTGTCCCAACCTCCCCAGAACTGGAATTACAGGTGTGCACCACCACACCCATTTTGAGGCAGGCACAGCACAGGACCAGCACAGCATGCAGTACTAGGATGGAACTTGGGTCCTTGCGCTTGCCAGGCAGGCACTTAGACCACTGAACTATCTCCCCAGCCCAAATCAGGTGTTCTTAGGTATCAACAAAGATCAGGAATAACACACACAAATAAACCTTTTACATATGTTAAAAAAATTGTGAGGACCAGCCAAATAGCTCAGTGGATCAACATGCCTGCAAGTAGGCACAGGGGCTGGGGGTTTGATACCCGGGCCTGCTGTGCGGGCCCCACACCCGGGGCACGCTGAGATGAGACAACTGAGACTGGGCGTGGTGGCGTGCACCTGTAATCCCAGCTCTTGAGAGGCTGTAAATAGGCAGATCACTATAAGTCTGATCTAGTAGTGAGACCTTGAACACCCTATAGACCCTTCCCTAAAATAAATAAATATATAAAACTGTGAGATTAAACCATTTTAAAGGTCCTAAAAATGGGGGTGGGGGTGCCCTGTAAGACTTATTCAAGGCTAATTATCTAACTAAAGAACACAGAACTCAATAATTTGGAATGAGCTTGGTAAATCCTCTCCCCTTTTAGAGAAAGATATACATAATATGAACCATTTTTTTAAAAATATATTTGGTTGTTGCAGTGCGTAACTATGCAGCTCAGACTCATGGCAATCCTCCTGCTTTCAGCCTCCCCAGGGCTGGGATTACAGGCATGCACCACTATGCCCAGACTCTGGCCAGCTCAGCCCACCCTGGGGACAGGGCTGTCATGGCATGTGGTGCTGGTGACCTTGGTCCTTGCGCTTGCCTAAGCAGGTGCTTTAGTCCACTGAGCTATCTCACCAGCCCCAATATAAATAAACTTGAAGAGGAAAGAGTAAATTATCCAATTTAAGAATACAGTTTTCATAATTACACTTCAGGAACACCTATTAACACAAAATTATTTCTATATTAGTAACTAAATATTATTGTATCCAAAAAAAAAAAAAA